ACACCTGCTGTGGGTCAAACTCTGGTAATTGGCAATTCTGTTCTCAGACATGTGAAGCTAGAGACACCGGCAACCAGCATTCCAAAAAGGTTATATTTTATTTTATTTGCAGATGACACAAATTTTTATTGCTCTGGAGAGAATTTGAAAGATTTGGTTGAAATTATGACTTCTGAGATGTTAAGATTAAAAAAAATGGTTTGATGTAAATAATCTTTGAATCTGACAAAAACGAAATTCATGATATTTGGCAATCGTGTAAAGGAGGAAGTTATTATGTCCACTGATGGAGAATTGATTGAAAGAGTTACTGAATTTTGCTTTTTGGGTGTGTAGATGAAAATTTGACGTGGAAATCTCATATTGAGTATATCAGAAAGAAGATGGTTAAAAACATTTATATTTTGGGAAATGTAAGAGATTCATTAGACCACAAAACAATGCGCATTTTATATTTTTCATTGTTCTTCTCATACTTCAGTTACTGTGTCGAAGTTTGGGGGAATACATATGAGAATACTACAAAACCTCTAAACTTATTACAGAAGAAAGTGATATGGATGATTCATAATGTTAAATATAGAGAACATACAAATAAATTATTTATAAAATCCAAATTATTAAAATTAGGAGATTTAGTGAAACTACGGACACTATTAATTATGTTTAAGGCTAAAAGTAATATTTTGCCTTCTAAGTTACAAAGAGTATTTTTAATGTGTTCGGGGGAAAATTTATTTTAAGCATCAGCTAGCTCGAACTACACAAAGATTAATGAGGCCAACGGTTACGGGTACGACTGTGGAAGTGTCTTCATTATAATTTACAGAATTGTATAAATTTACATAGTTTTAAAAAGTGTTACAACAATAACTCAATATGAAGAATGTGAATGAAATTGGAGTTAATTGAAAAAGGATCCATTATTTTTTTGCCTCATTTATTTTATTTACTCATCTTTTCTCCTTGTTACTATGTGGAGTGGTATATTCTGATTGTAAATGTGTTGTTAGGACCGGAGATAAATGTTAATGTTAGTTTGTTCCTTGACTTTTGGTGCCCACTTGCAATATAAGTTGGATTGTAGAGAGGGGGCGGGGTTTAATAAGAATATTTTCTTCTTCCTGCTGCTTTTCACACATGGTTGCTTTACTGACAGAAAGTGTGGTTGGTTTGTCTGAAAGAACTAACTGTGGAAACTGTTGACCAAGTGTGAATTAAATAAATAAATGAAACAATATAAAGCGCCTTGAGACGACTGTTGTTGTGATTTGACGCTGTATAAATAACACTGAAATGAATTGACCCACAACACCATCCCCCTGGTAACGAAGGCCCAGCAGCTGCACTTCCTCTGTGTCCTGATGAAGAAGCTGTAGTGGTAAGACTACACACCTTTGGAGCGCAGACTCTTATTGGATCCAGTAAGGGGCCTGGCTAGACCCCCCATGCTAAAACCAAGTCCTGGAATGGCCTCCAGCCTGTCCGCAGCTCGGACACAAGCATTTCACTACTATTGGGTGGATGACTGAATGTAGTGTAAAGCGCCTCTATACAAATGCAGGCCATTTACTACATGTTGTACTCTGTATGATTGTGTATGTGACAATTAAAGCTTGCTTGAAGAATAACCTGGTATAACCAGCTGCTGCTGGCCTTCTACCTTCTCAGTGGAGCACCAACCACCAGGCATGCCTGCCTGGTGCTCAGGGGCCATGACTGACAGCAGGAAGGCTGTAGCCACGTGACCCTGGTAAGGAAAAACACAGTCATACACCATCGGAGGCACAAGGGGTCATGAGGTCTAGAGCCTTTTTCCAGCCAGGCAGATAAAGACAGGAGGGACCGAGGAGGAGGTCCAATCTTTTTACATTTAATCCAAAGACAGACGTGCAGCCCCACCCCCAACACCACCACCACCACCACCACCTGTTCACACACACACAGGATTAATCCCGCAGCCCTTCAAAGTCCCACAATCGAGGACACGTCCACAGCAACAGTTTTATTGCCTCAAACCAGCAGGAAACAGACTTCATGAGCTGGCTTATCAAAATGAAACAAAAACACAAACAAAAGCAAAACCTTACTACACAGGAGGTCAGGGGTCGAAGGTCAGAGGTCAGCACGTAATCACAGAAATCCTGACTAACATAAAACACGCTGAGAAACAGATCGAATTCATGAGTGAAGGAGGGGAAGGGACCATCATCCATCATAACTGGAGATTTTCCTGCTGACACAGTCATCCTGGAGCCGGCGTTCCCAGTCAGCTGACCCCCAACATTTCACTCTAACTGGGTCATTTCCTCAGCACCGCGAGTCGAGCCAGGCTTTGAGAGCACTGTCAGTGCTGTTGTGATTGGGCGCTGGGAGTCTCAGGCCCTCAGCAAGACAAAGATCAGATAATCGCTGCTGGCCTTAATCCCCGAGCAGAGAGAGGAGCCTTTATCTGCCAGCAGCAGAAAGGTAGAAGTATGGGAGGAAGACTTCCTGAGACTCGCTCCGAGATTCCTATGCTGACGTCCTCTGTGTCAGCAATAACTCACGTTACTGGGAACGGTGTCACCGAAACATCAGTACAACGAGTACACGCACACACACACACACACCTCCTCTCTGTAATCGATGATCGATCTCCACAGACTGAAGCTAACCGGTCGTTCCTTCTGTTGGGATCGGAGCACAAACGTAAACAGAGCCATATGTTGTTTGGGATTGGCTCCATCAGATAAATGCTGACTGCATACTGTGCAGTGATTGGTTAAGTCTGCTCCGTGTCACGGTCACTTATCACCTCTGGGGTGATGAGACTGGGGTTCTCATTGGGCCCAAAACATCAATAAGTAATAATTGGAGTGAGTGGGGATTACTTCCTGGGTGGTCCAGGTATTAGCCAGTTCCCATTCTTCCATGATCGAGTGCTTTCTGAGGCTGAGACGCCCCGGCTCATTAATCAACAAAAGTCTCAGTCGAAGCTTCTCTTGATCGAGCGTTTCCAGCTTCACTGCAGCAGAAACGTCAGGTCTGCTGGGCTCAACGCCGGACGTCAGGAATTAATATGTGACAAAACGCGTCCCAGCACCCCCGTAGGAGGGTGGTGTGAAACCGATTCCATCAGTGATTGCTGAGCGTTCTGTGACCTGTCAGATGAAGGAGCTGCTTGGCATCAGTTACTCCATCGCACTGACACCAGGAAGAGGAGGAGGAAGAGGAGGGAAGCGAAGCAGCATTTGGTGTTTTGGTTGCAGAGGAGTGTTTTTATGTGGCAGCATGCAAAGTGAGACTTTAAGCTGTCAGTAAAACCAAAATTTGGCAAAAAACAAACTCCAAACTGTCTTATCGGCGGGTCAGCTTGGCTTCCGGTCCCTGCACGGCTCTTTAGGAGTGAGTTCTGCAAACGAACGCAGCGCTGCAGCGAGCCATCATCTGCTCCGTCAAACACAAACATTTCCCCGTCACAGCGTCTGTCTGAGAGGAGCGTGGGGTTCGGGTCAAGGACCCCGAGCACCGCCATAACAATGAAGCCATGAATCGGCCCCGCGTCTGTGTCGCTGTGACGTGGAAACCTGCAGGACTCATCACCACAGGTTAGGGTTAACTTCTTATTGTGTGGCACAATCCAAATGTCCCCACCATCCACATTTTCCAACCTCACCGCTTCACTCAAACGTCCCCACAAAATGCTTTTTAAAAAACTGTCTTGAATGACATTTTTGTGAATGAGCCGACGAGTTTCTGTAGTTTCACAAACGCTCTCGTGTGAAGCAGCGCTGTCCTCGCCGACCGACACTGAACAAACCCTTTCAGAGATTTATGCAGCCGCACACGCAAACCTGACGGCGTGAGCACGAGATCAAAACGCCGCTGATCGACTTCACACATCAAACTTTTATATTTTCCTGTCAGTTCCCCACAAATCCTGGTTTTATGTCAGTGGAACAGCTGTCTACAAACATTTGGACACTTTTAAACAGTGCGTCTTAAAATTTGAACCTTTGCACAAAAACCTTCGACTATAAGAAACATCCAAAAAAAGCCCAACTTCCTCACCGCGCTTGGATCTCTTCAAATATCCCGACTGTCAGTCACAGCTTTGCTTTCCAAAGAAATTCCGACTTTGATAACAACGTCCAGACTGCAGCTCAGTGGAAAAAACAAGTTCTTGTGTTCCACAAACATCCTTCGAACGAACTTCCAGACGTTTCGCTCGGATATCTCAGCCCTCATCCATCAGCAGCTCCGAGCAGATTTCCTCGCTCACACTGTGACTTTGTGCGGATTTATTATCTGAGGCATGTCGAGGCCTTATCAGCTTCTTTAGAGTACTATCTCATCTGTGTGTGTGTGTGTGTGTGTGTGTGTGTGTGTGTGTGTGTGTGTGTGTGTGTGTGTGTGTGTGTGCGCGCGCGCGCGTTTTCAAGTTCAAGCAGGCCTTTAACCTCCAGTTTTCCCGTGGGATCTCTGCACTGCCTCGAGGCAAACACACACACACCCTGAGGCACATTTACTCTGCACATCCTCCAGTGTTTACTCATTAATTCTTACAGCGGTTTGTTATCGTCTCACACACACACACAGGTTCAGTAAAACAAAGTCAAATCTGCAGCGTGTGTCTCTCTTCAAGGGAACAGACTACTTCCTGTACTCGGTTCTTTAAGCCTGTTTCTGTGTATGCAGAGGTCAGAGGTCAGAGGTCAACACAATGACATAAATAAAAGTTGTTTCTGACCATGACTGCAGTTTTATTTCCTGCAACGCACGGAAGACCTCACAAGGACCACAGGAGTATACGTATGACAGGACACGTCTGTATTCATGTGATGTCACAGGTCAGAGGTCATCTGGCGAGAGTCAGCGAGATTAAAGCTCCACACACTCCTGTGTGACTATCAGCTGATCATGTTATTAATGACACACACACAGTAACACCCTGCATGTCCCTGTGCAGCTCCAGCAGCAGCTTCATTAAAGACATTAGTACACACAGGTTAACTTACCTCGAATTCAGGTGGTCCAATCATGAGCAGCTTCTCGGCAGAGCCAATCAGAGCACAGAAAGGCCCAAATCCAGGTAGCAGAAGTCCAGATCCAGATGTAGTCCTGACTAATCCTGATCTGCTGAGACACAGTGGGAGAGAGGAGGAGGTCAGGCCTTTCGTCTTCATCCAGGTGCATTGTGGGAGGGGCGCAGGTGTCCCTGAGACCTGGACACCGGCAGATCTGACCACAGCCGGCCGGAGGGTTCAGGTCCAGAGAGAGAGGAGGGCTCGATCCCTGCTCCAGTCAGGATATCTCTGACTCACACTCCTCTAACAACACAGCCGGATCAGATTTGCTCCAGTTTTATGTTATCCATGAACTCCGTCTCATTCATCCACCTTTCCATACCTGAGCCGGGACATACCTGGAAGCACTGTGGGACACTCGGAAAAAGCAAAGACATGAAAACTGCTTCAGAAAAACCTGCACACACAAAGGACCAACAACATCATCCAACCACCAAGCCTCCAAACGAGCTACACCCTCCAGCAGAGCACCAACCAGAGAAGCAGGAGGAGCAGGAAGCCGGGGCGTTCCCAGACCTGGTTCCACCTGGAAAGGTGAGTCCAATAAAGCCGAGAGTCCGACAGGAGCAGGCGTCTTACTGGCTGCAGATTCACGTGAAGCTCAAACGGAGAAGAATATGGAAACCAATCTGACCAGTTAACATAAAAACCACCAGTTCACCTGGAGCTGAGCGCTCAACACCTGCACTGTGGCCTTCTGCACATGCTCAGTGCTGTCTGCGGTCCACAGGTGTTTCCTTCAGGCGAGTTTGTTGGGTTTTTTGCAATGCCACGAGTGACCACTGGGAGCAGCAGGACCACGGCTAAAACAGCAGGATACAATATCAGTGCCGCCGGAATGTGACCTTTGACCCTCTCTGACAATTACAACTCATAACTATAATTCATAGTAGTAACTTCGGAATGTGTGTTTGTTTAGCTGATATCCGTCCATGTAAATGAGGTCACATGTCAGCTGTCCTGCCTTTATGCTCAGTCTCTGCTGCGGTGACCTTTCACCTCTGACACAAGCAGCAGAGATGACTGCAGCAGTCAGCAGTCCTCTGCAGCACAGGCTGATAACACCCGCCCTCAGTAATCCTGGATGCTGAGACAGCTTCAGCACAGGAAAGAGGAGCAGCGTGGGATCTGACACTTCCTGTTGGTGAATCCGAGCGTCGACACGCAGACTTTGGACTTTCACTCAAACGGATCCTCAGGAAAACGAGCATCAGCGGAAGAACTCTTGGACATATATGAATAGACGTGAGCTTTACTGACAGTGAGGGAGGAGATGAGTCCATTATCCTGATGAAGACCCTCTGTTAGCGGGATGATCTAACTCGGGGCCACATTAGTGACTCTCTCACATCTCTGGCTGCTCCGGGCCTCCGGAGGCAGCGAGAGGTCCAGATGTGGATGGATGCGATGCCGGGATCAGCGGAGGGAGCGTGGAGGTCTGCCGCAGCCGTCGTGGAAATAAAAGAGATGTGAGCACTGAGCCTCCGAGCGGCGAGCACGGGAGGTGAGTTATGGGCGGCGACAGCCGACAGGTCTGAGCAAATGAGCCGAAAAGAGAGACTAGTTCAGATGGAGCACGAGGCGGCGAGGGAGAAAATTAAAGGAGGAGAGAAATGAGGGGAGGACGGCAGAAAATAATGAAAGAGCAGATCCTGCAGCAGTGACGCGCAGCCACGGGGAGTGCGCTCAAGTCCCTGCATCATGCAAAGTCTGCAGTCAGATTTGATTGTGATTTGTTTGCCGGCGTTCGGTGGGAGAAATCAGCCGGAGCGCTCCCACTTCTGTTTGTTCTGCACCAGGTTTCCCGGGAAAAAGACGTCCTGCTGGCTGCACATCAAACAGACAAAAGCCAACGATCCCACAGAACGCTAATCAGAACACACACAGGAAGTGATTTCCTCCACAAGCAACAAAAGCACCACGCGAGGAGGACGCCATCGAGCGCGGAGATGCTCCAACCACCGACCTGGCGGTGTTGGTGCTGAGCCCCACACAGCTCGTTACAGTCCTGTGCTGTTACTCACACACACGCCCACGTCCTCCTCGCCATCAGCCAGTGCCCCGGCGCAGGTAACCTCCTGCCTCGATCACGAGGAGTATTCCCAGCAGTGGGAGCTCTGAGTTCATGTGCAGGAATAGCTTCACGGAAGCACATCACACATCCGGGAGTGTGACAGCAGTCCACGCTCACACTAAAGGACTCTTCAAAATCATACGTGATAGAAAAAGTTCCCATAATTCCTCTCTGCTTTAGTGCTGCTTATGGGTAAAGTGCTGGTGTGCTGCAGTGTTTCACACAGGCCGGGTCTAATCCGGAGCGCTTCACGCTCACTCTCTCTCTGCAGCCTCGCCGGGTTAATAAGTGTAAATCTTCCAGCAGGGAAACCGCCACATCTGTCACAGCTGGTGCCTGATACAGATCCTGATACTGCAGCGGGTTCATGCACCCTGCACATGCAGCAGCTTTAAATCTGACCGCTCACCTTCAGCCTGTGTGTGTGTGTGATGATGCAGCCGGGCGGAGAGAGCTGGTCTAAGCCGGATAAATTCATAAACAGTGTTTCAGCGCCGCTTCAGAACGACTGTGAAAACAGCGAGCGGCGACTCGCTCCAAAGCTGCTCGCTGTGTCTGCTCTCTGTCCGTTTAGCTTCACCCAACCCCACCTGACCTCACGCTCCAACCCAGCAGTAAAGGAAACAGAAACAAATGTAGAGAACAGGCTTCAGGTCAGTGCCCTGGGACAAAACACGCTTCTGCATCCGTACTTTAATTAATATTAACGATTACTGATCACAGCAGATCGACAGGACGCCACTCACTCATGGCTCCGCTGAGAAAAACTGAGAGGAACTAAAAACCAAACTGCTGCAGCCTCAAACTCATACCAGGAAAATTTATGGTGATGGAAAACAAACAAATACTAATGAAATGAATTCATTGAATCTATGAATCGTTTATTAATGCAAACACAAAGAACATCGTCTCCATCCTTTCACTGAAACAAGCACTGGGTGCAACAAAGTAACAAATTACTGTAATCACATTACATTTTTCAGGAAGGCAGTAACAGTAACTGTACTAAGTTATGTCCTTACAAAGGTTCTTTGGTGATCTGCACGCTAAGCTAGCCGAAAACCCAGAGTGATGATCCAGTGCATGCAGACTCCAGTCCTGCAGCCAGAGCCTGATTTCGGTCAGCGACGCTGTGACTGTGCAGCAGGATGAACACGGAAACACGCCTCCTGCCTGCAAAGTTGTGTGGCGCGTTCATCTTTTGTTAATAAGATTATAACGTTTCCTCTTCCTGTCTCATGGCAAGCGCTCTGCCAGTGCTGGGCGGAGTCTCGTGTTGAAGTGTGGGTTTCACACTAGCATCTCCTCACCAAGTGGTAGCCTGATTAGACTAGCGCTGTGTTTTTAGATGCTAAATGATCATTGGGCGCTGACGTCCTCGCCATCAGACGTGATTGTTGGAAACATAAACATGCGACATCACTCCAGCACTCTGATATTACACTTGTTCACATGATGTTTTATTTACACGGCACAGATATTCTTCTGTGTTTTGGGTCGTTACAAGCTGACCTGAGGTCAGCTGATAAAACATAAAGACCGTCTCAGTGTTTGAACTGAAAGCCTCATTACCCGTGAACAAACACATCTCTGTTTCCTGCAGCAAAACCAGGTAATCTGCTGCCTATTAACACAGCATTACCAAAAACTGGGCTAATCCACCCATTGTTCTGTGTGCGCATGTGTGTGTGTGTCTTTGTGTTTTGTGCAGTCTGAATGACGGGGAAAAGGTCACCGGATGAATCTGCTGGATCAAACGGATAAAGACACAACAAAAAGTGCAGGAAGCGACCAATGAAAGGCCACCTAACACACACACACACACACACACACTCAGAGATACACAAAGAAGCACACACAGCTGGAGTGTGAAACACGCTGCAGCCATCCTGCACATGCCTGGCAGCGGGTAGATCCTGGTAGCCTGGAGGTCAGCCAACACACACACACACACACACACACACACACACACACACACACACACACACACACACACACACACACACACACAGGTCAGCCTGATGGTTTCCTGCTTTCGGAGCCTCCTACGCTCCTCACTGTGAACGGTGAGCCAAGAAAACGTGGAAACAGATGCCGATGGCGTTCCTTCAGAGCGCGGTGGTGGCTCTGACCTCGGGTGCTTCAAATTCCTTCACTTTGAGAGGAAACTGTTTTTCCTCCACAGCGGAGTCGTCATCGGCAGCTGGAATCTACGGTGGCCTTAAACCCACGTTTAAGGAAACAAAGACAAAAACGCTGCAAAAGCCCAAAACAGAACGGAGCTGTTTCTGGGGACACAATAACGGGATGGACCAGCTGTGTCCCAAAACGTCAGATGAATCCTTCAGAGGACCCGCCTTCGCGGTCTACGTGGGCCGGGTCCTTCGAAGACCGAGAAGGCCAGAAGTGTGAGGCTGTGAAATTGGACGGTCTCGCCTTCAGATCTGCGTCACCGCTGTGTCGGTGGGGTTTAATCATAGCTGGACTGGCCATCGGCCCACCGATTTTTTGTTTTTATGGGCCGATCGATTTTTTTTTTTGGAAGGGTATAAATAATGAAAGGTGTTGGATTGGCCAGTTGGTCATGATCGACTCTGGGCTGGACCAATTACAGCCGAGGAGGTCGGATGCACCCTCCCCCTTGTTTAGCAATCTTATAGACGAACTAAAGAAAATGGAGAACAAAAAAAGGAAAGGAGGTGCAGAAAAAATTAGGGCCAAAAAGAAACAAGCCCTTCAGGCAGACGCTGCCAAATGTGTAAAAATAACTGAATTGTTTGGCGGTAGCTATGGCATAGCTTCCACAGATTTAGCAACATCAGCAAGTGGTGGAGGCCAGCAGGTGGATAAGGGAAAGGGGAGGCAAGAGGAGGAGAGACCCGAGGCGGCCGCCGGTCATAGTGGCAGAGGAACTGAACTTCAGGTAAGAAGTTATGACCTGCTGTCTGTGTCAGATATAAACCAAGTTTAGTTGTAGTTTGTTTTCGTTGTGCTGACTTTTTACAGTCGCTTAGAATAACTGGTACTGCGTACTAGCTAGCATGACGGAGTTTATATACTGCTGGGCGGGTGCTATGAAGTTACTGATAGTAAATTTTATTTTATGCTTAAGGTTAGTTTCTCAAACTCCTCAAAATCTTAACAAATTGTGCCAATCCTTACATGTTGCACCAGGCTGATTTATCATCAAAAGTGGAGAAGTCTGTGACAGAGGAGACAGAAGAGCAGCAGAGAGAGATGGAGAGATGACTTTATGTCATCCATGAGGGATGCATTTGACATATGTTTCCGGCAGCCTCGCCTCTGTCAGTGCGCCCCAGGGCAGCTGTGGCTACAATGTAGCTGCCAACGTGTTGATGTAAACTAATGTAGTTAGCGTTTTCAGATAAGCGCTAAAGGCTTTTTGTTATTAAGCAACGTTATTGATAACGCATGTTTTGCACAACCCCTTTGCGTTATAATCCGTTTGATTTTGGTTTTATGCGTTAATGATCATTGAGCCTGATGGAGTACCCTCCACATTCCCGACCTTCTTCCCGGACGCTTGGGCGTCAGTCAGGCGTTGCAGCCACCTGTTTATAACCCGTCTTGCTGTTAATATAACCCACATACTCTACCGCTTGACGTTCGCTGTGAATCCGGAGACCACTGATGGATTAAAAGTTATTTACTAATATGATGTGAGCAACCGTTGAAATGAGCGGTCCGCTGCTCTGCGCAGTGACTAACCCGTCGCATGACTGAGCAGGCGTCTCGAACTGAAACTGCAAATATGCGATGTAAAACGAGCAGATATTTGAAGTTTACAAGCTACTTCTCGCCTGAAAATATGTTAAAAGTTTATTTTGTGACCCAGAAAGATTAATAAGAGTGATTTTAAAACTTAGTAGCGCCGCCATTGTCGGAAACTGGAGTTTGGCTGGGCCGTGCTATGAATTCTGGGATATGGTGGGCCACGAAGGACACACCCGACCCATCCTTCAAATTCGGGGAAATGAAGGACGCATTTGAAGGAGCCAACGCATTGTGCCAGCCTTCGTCGCGTCGATGTGACATAATCGGCCTTCAGATGCGGCCTCGGGAGGATGCAGCCGACGTTTTGGGACACAGCTACAGACTCGGAGGTGTGTTTTTGTCACTCATGTAACCGCAGATGCATGTTTGCTATCGCCTGTTTACTGTTAGGCCCTGGTCCGTCACGTCAATGTCTCCTCAGAAACACTTCTGTTGTGCTTTATTTACCTTCTGTGGCGTTTTTCTTTAAGTTGCAGTGTGTTTGGCCTCTCAGGACAACCAGAGGAAACGTGCCGGAGGACGCCACGGTCGCTCAGCAGTGAATTACAACATGCCGCCATTGCCGAGGCGCAGGCGCTGACAGCTGCAGATTAAGTAACACAGCCGCTGTGATCGGGTTCTCTGATGTGAGGGAGCTGCTGATACAGCTCAAACTATCCGCCTCTGAAAGCGAAGCGCTGCCGAGGAACCATCGCTACCCTCGCCACTCCTGTGACTGCTTCCTGTTCAGTGACATCACAGAACTCCACGAAAAAGACAGACAGGCCCAAACTTTCATCCGAGGACACCGTCGCTGTTCTGCAGTAAAACAAATAAAAACTGCACGTGCACGGCAGCGTTTCAGGGTTTCCTGGAGCGTGACCACACCTGGGCCACTTATGGACAGAGTCTGTGTGAGCACAGGTGGGTGTGGCCTGTGCCTCTGATGGACAGAAAGGAAAAAGGCTGATTTTCCATCAGCAGAAACCCCAAAAAGCAAAAACCTGGGATCATTAGCGTCCGCTCTCGAGTATGTCACATGACCGACTTTTGTTAGGTCTCTCTGGAAACAGGAAATAAATATCCTACTGTTATAACTAATGTCACCTGAAACTTTGAGCCTGCGTGAGCGAACCTTTAAATCTCCTTCTGCAGTCTGGCTGAAGCCTCAGAGGAAACGCACAGGAAGCATGAAGCTGTCAGAAACAGGCTGTCATTGGCTCCCGCGGACCGCCGCTGTCTTCATCTCCTTCTTTACGGTCTCCTGATCTCCCCCGCCGCACGTAAAGGTCAGACAAACGAAATCACAGAGAAGCAGCGGGACACGCGCTGTGGTCGGCCGCCGCTCACTCCAAAGAAATTTCATCTATCTCTGAGGTTCAATTTACCCGCAACCTGAGCGAGGGGGAGGGGTCTGTGCAGGCGAGCAGAACCAGTACAATAACATAAGAAGGAGGAGAAGCAGGGGGAGGAGGTGTGTGAGAGCACAGATAGACATAACACAAAAACACACACACGACCCGGAGCCGGACATCGCGACCCGGGCTCAGACCCACAGAGAACGAGACAATTCTGAGGACGTGCTTGTTACACCCCGGCCTAGGCAACCGGCGTGCAACGCAGGAAAATAAAAATAAGG